AAAAAAACATCCCCAGGCCATGATTTTGTAACCAACAAATTTCGCCGTTGAGTTAGTGTTCTTCGGTGCAAAGTCTGCGCCGTCTTTTCTCCAAATATGAATCCATGAATTACACCCAAATATTTCAATTTTTGCTTCATCTGTCCATAAAAGATTTCCCCAGAATGGTTCAGGTTTATTCTTATGCTCACAAGCAAATGTTACCCAGCCATTTTTATATTTCTTCAATAGGAGTGGAGTTTGTCTTGGAGAACGAGTTCTTAGTTGAGTTCTATGAAGTTCTTTGCTTATATTTCGCTTCGTAACAATAATATCTGAAGCTTTTAATTCTTCTTTTATTTCTTTCCGAGTAGTCTTTTTTTTAATTTTGCGCTGAATTATTCTCATTGATCTGAGAGAAATCTTGCGTGGTATATCTGATCTCGATTTGTTTTCAACAGTTACTTTTTATAATTAGCAGTAATGGAACTAATAGGAGTAAATGGTATATTCAGAAATATCTCCTATTTTCCTGCAGCTTTTGCCTTCATTCCAATGTTTGATGATCAATTCTTTTTGCTTATTTGATAGTTCCTTGTCTTTTAACATGATGATAATTATTGGGTATGATTTGTGGCCAGAGATAACCATATAAGCCTTTATAATGAGTTGCGGAATGTTCTAGATTATTCCGGTAATGAGATAATTGAAAGAATGTAGAAAAATCTGAAAAGAATGTAGAAAATAAAGGTAATATAAACCTTTTGAGAAGGAAGACATATTTTGTACGAATACATTTTTCGCCTCGAAATTTTATAAATAACACATAATTTCATTTATAAAAAAAAAAAAAAATCTAAATGTTTCTTCACATTGTCGGATTATGCAACGGCGGAGAATTATTGTATTTTTTTTCTTATAAATTAAAACTATGTTAATTGAAAAAAAAATGATGATGTACGAATATTTATTTTCCCCACTGTTTGTATATATATATATATATATATATATATATATATCGCTAAAATGAAAGTATCTATTTTCTGGAGTTTTGTTTTGATAGAGGATATCTTGGGGAAAGCATTCATAGTAATATTTGTTTTGGAACAGATGATGAAATGTCACCCGAAAACATCTTCATATGTCCGATCTTCTTATGTAGGAAAGAGAGGGGAGACGGCGAATGTCTTAAACTGCCCTGTAATTTCACACGTGAGAATCGTTTTTCTCACGATTCATCTCGTATTGAATCTCATTTTGGTTCAAGCCTCTTCCTTTACGAAGGCAACGAAAGCAATTATGCTATAGCTGAACAGATATCCTTCGAGAGCGACAACTGACTTCGTTTATTTTTCCTTGTTCCAGTGAAGAGCGAATCTAAACAATCCTGAGATATTCATGAAGGCATGAGAACAACAATCATTGCCAACCCTTAAACGATATCCTTTACCAAAAAGTGAAGAACTTACAGGGTGCCATGCAATAAAATAACTTACCTGAATATAAGATAGAATACTCGATTTGTTATTTATGGTTTATCTATCATTTCTATGTGATTTAAAGACGAAAAATGCTTCGTATTGAGCGTGCAGGCTTACAGTAACCTGTGTACGTCATCTATTCCCTATCGATGCCATAACCGGGTTTGACGCTGCTTAACTTCGTAGATGAAAGAGAACCATTTTTTCAACGTGACCTAGCCGGAAGTAATAGGGTCGAAAAAAAGTTATCAAATCATAAAAAATGCAAACTGAATTGCATTTTATGACATCTGCATAAACATATGGTTAAATTCGTTTTTAATAAATATTTGATTCTAATGTGGTTTTCGTATTTCTAACAATTAGGCCACGATTAGAGTTAGGAAATATAAAATCAATTAATTATTATTTAGTCAGCTTAGGCGATCATGTATCGAAAGATACATGACTGACGAGGCAGAATTTTTCCCCTAGTAGTTTGCTATTTCTTTTTGTCATCCAAGGTAAGAGAACCCGGTCTGTCCTGCTATTTTACCCATAGCTAGGGCAAAAGAAGATGATTCATACGTATTCCAAGGGCATGAGCACTTAAGTGAAGTCGAACGAGGATGTCGGAGTCCGAAACCCGATCCGCTATGCATTACTCCACTGTTCCTTCCCATTATGTTTAGGAACAGAAAAACGAGTTTCATTTTATTAGATCAATATCTTATTTGGTCATAGATATTTATAAATAAACGTTCATGTTTTCTTTAAACTAAGTATTGCAGGCTTACACAAATGGGGGCATTTCAGGACTTATCCCGTTATAGGTATATACAAAAATTTACAATTTTAAGAATTTTTAATTTCTACCAAGAGAATATAATTGTATATTCTGCTTACATAATACAAAGAAAATATAAATTTTAACGCTTCTTTTAAAAATCTTATCTTATAGTCCGAGAAAATACCTGTTAAATCATAACTTTAAAGTGTGCGAATATAAATTGTAAAATTCATACTGTACAGGGAGCGATGGATACATTTGTCATCTAAATAATGAAACTGAAATAACACTGGCATATTATTTTAACAGATATATTTACCGAAATTACAATTATTAAAAGTAAGATATCTTGAAATACTAAAGAGTCACTTTATTCAATAAAATCTTTATTAGCTTCAGCCACGGCCTCCAGATGACTTCGGAATCTCCTGCAACACTACTGGACAGTTTCCTTGTTTAAGTTGGTGAATGCTGCCATAATCCTTGCCTTCAATTCCTCTTTGGTATTACAAAGACTTATGCTGATCTCTCTCTGTCTTAAAGAGGCCCCTCGGAGAATAATCAAGGTGCACTTTGGGGAGTTAGGTAGCCATATTTAAGGGGTGACGTGGTCGCAGAAATTGACAGCCATGACTAGGTTCTCCTTCTTGTGTGGCATGATGAAGAGTCACATTGTCAGACATAGGGTCTTCTATTAGCCACTATCTTGACAGAGGCACTTCATGTAGGCCTCCTTTCTTGAATCTGAGTGCCTCACCAACAAATTATAATGTTCTTCTTTATCTGAACGATCAGCTACCGTACCTTCCTAATCGCCATTAGACCAATCCATCTCTTTCCAAATCCTCAGCACTTTTCTTTGATTGAAACCCAACCAATCTGAAATGTTCGTATTCCGGCTTTAGGCGCAAAGGCCAAGTAGAACACCATGTCGTTTCCAATTCCTGACATAGTGAATGTGTCATGTTGCTCTTTTTCTCACAGACAGGGCCTACTGTCACTAATAAACTGGACAGTCGAGAAAAACAAAAACAAAGTTAAATGGGTGTTACAACAAAGTTAAATATATATAAATGGCTAAAATTTACTATAGATAGATATGAACAGATTGAGATAGATATATACGGGCACTAAAAGCAAAATTGTCCAAATCGTGTAACAGTATAATTGTCCATCCCACAAAATATTTAAAATACCACTAAACTAATTGAATTTCTTTTTCAAGTTTTTCAGATAAGACATTTAGTCATTTTTGCACACTTTGTGTAAAACTCATTGAAAAACCCTTTGAGTTATTCAGTTAGAAAGAGAATAGGTTAACATTGTTTTGTTTCATCCCCAATATGTCTTCCCAAATGGGCAATGGTGAGGGAAAAAAGATCATTCAGGCCTTCAATAATAGTACCTGATTTCATCATTTGCCTTGCATCGTCAAATCCCATTCTTGAACCATCAAGAAAATGGTGATTAAGTTTAAGAAATTCGGAACAGTAGAAAGGAATACTGGATCAGAACGAGGGATTATCATTTAAACTTAGAGCTAGAGAGATCAATTAGAAAAGAGTCACATCAATTCATAAGCCATTTGTTATGTGAGATATGAGTTACAGAGCAGTGAATCATCGACGGACTCTCACAGCTCTTCAGTGTGGCTAGACGTCAGAATCCTTCAAGCAGGGACCGAAATCCGACCGATTTGGCTTCAATCATAGATGCTTACCATAAGCTTTCACGTTTTCTATATGAAATATCTCATTGGCCCAGAGAGCTTAATTCAGTTGAAGAGCAATAAGTTAATAGCAGTAGAAACCATTGTTTTTAAAATCACCCATTTCTCAAGACAGCGCAACCGGAATTAACGGGAGAAAATATATTGTCCTCCATAGACAGACTGTTTCGCTGTAACACAGCTTCTTAGTGTGGCTAGACGTCGGATTGCTTCAGGCCGAGGAACGAAATATATTTGAACTTTATTTCTATCCTTCAGCTTCCGATCCTTAGCTATGATTAATCAATGATGACATGTAATTTTATTTTATGGTCGTTTTCATCACGCTTCTTCTGTTAAGTTTGGAGAGTAATTATACATTGTTATTGTTCAAAGTAGATTCTAAAAGTGTCATAAAAAATTGGAGAATTCCAGTAAGATATCTTTAATCATTTTTACGATACAACGTTTTAATCGTAATCAAACACAGGAAAAATTTTGCATTTACACGATTTGGACAGTTTTGCTGTTAAAACTGAGACAAATAGATAGACAAATATGAAGACACTTAGATAGATAGATAGGAACTGGTTAATAAATATACAGAATGGAATTAAATTAACGTATAGAAAAGTTAGACTTAAAGTCTATGATGATACAGTGTGTTACTTCATAAAAAGTAAAATCCCAATTAACTACGAAGGCCACACGCGTAAAGCGTTCGAAATAAAATCCACTCCGAGTAAACAGCTCTAAATCAATGCCGGAAAAGAATAAAGTTGAAGAAAATTTGGATCTGTTGATTGTTAAGTGTATCCTTGTTTTTCAGCGCGCAGCGTTAGGTTAACTTTCGCTCGGAGATTGATAGAGAAGAGCGAAGAAATAAGTCGTTTTCGTCAGCAATAATTGGGTCCTAGAAAAAGTCATTTGTCATTGTTGCCTACGGAAGTGTTCGTTAAAACCTCATAGCGAGTTAATGACACAACCAGTTGCACCTCTTCTGACAATAAATGGAATAAAAAGAAAAGACCAAGGAGAATATGCGAAAACAATACGTAGATTACTAGACAGGGAGTAAATTATATGAATTTAAAGAAAGAAAGAAAGAAAGAAGGGGGAGCGAAAAAAGGAAGACAGGATGAAAGAAAGAAAGACAGCAAGAAAAGAATTTACAAAACGAGGAAGAAAGAAAGAAAGAAAGAAAAAGAAAGACGGAGCGAAAGGAAGGAAGGGGGGATGAAAGAAAGACAGAAAGAAAGGAAGAAAGAAAAGGAAACAAGCGGGGAAAGAAAGAAAGACAGAAAGGAAGGAAGAAAAAGAAAGAAAGAAGGAAACAAGGAAGAAAGGGGAAGAAAGGGGAAGAAAGGGGAAACAAGCGAAAGAAAGGAAGAAAGAAACAAGCGAAAGAAAGGAAGAAAGAAACAAACAAGCGAAAGAAAGGAAGAAAGAAACAAGCGAAAGAAAGGAAGAAAGAAACAAGCGAAAGAAAGGAAGAAAGAAACAAGCGAAAGAAAGGAAGAAAGAAAGAAAGAAAGAAAGAAGCGAAAGGAAGGGATGAAGGATGAAAGAAAATAAATAAAGAAAGAAGACGGAGCGAAAGGAAAAAAGGAAGGATGAAAGTAAGATAGAAAGAAAGGAAAGAAGAAAGAAGACGTCGCGAAAGGTACGAAGTATGAAGAAAGACACAAAGAAAGGAATGGAAGAAGAAAGAAAAAAGGAAAGAAAGAAATGAATGAATGAATGAATTTGGCAGGAAATTAAATAAAAATAAAAATGTATAGAATGCTAAGAAAAGGCATGCAGAGGCAAGGGAAGAAAAGCAAGAAGGAAAGAAGAAAAGAAGAAATAAAAAAAAAAGAAACGAAAAGTAAACGAAAATAATGAAGCAAATATAAATTATATTAAGAAACAGATCCACAGTAAATCAACAAAAATAGAAAGAAGTTTAAAATGATAGAAAGAATGGAAGAAAGAAATAGAAGATTTGTAAAAAGGAAATATTCAATGAAATATAACAAGAACGCAGGAACGATAACATATTTTAAGTGAAAGAATATAAAATATATTTGCAACTAAATAACCAAAATAAGAACAAACATTTTTAAAAGAAAGAAAAACGGAAGAAGGTAAAATACAAAAAGGAATTCTCTCGTGAAATGACGATGAAAAATATTTTATTAAAATGGAAAAGAATAACAGAAAAAGAAAGAGCAGAATTCAAAGAATGAATTATATCCATTCATCATGAGATAAATTGAATCAGCAAATGTGGAGGAAAAACGAATGATTGAAGGAATAAATACAATTTTTCAGTGAAATAAATACAACAAAATGAGTAAAAGGAAATGCAGAACGATCTCAAAGATGAATATTGAAAGAAAGAAAGAACGAATATCGAATAATGTGCTGCAGACAGAGCGAATTATCGAATTCACGAGCAAAATAAAGAGATACAAAAAAAAAAAGAAATCAAGGAGAATAAAATAAAACAAATAGGCTAAGATATACAAGAACGACATTGAGAAAAAGAATGAGATGGAAACAAAGCAAATGGTGGAATCCAACGATATAAGGGAATCGAAATGAATGAAAATATAAGGAAAATAATGAATGAGAGAAACGTTGTTTGAACAGGTAAAATGGAACGGGAAAATAGGAGAAAATAAAATTGAAAAACCTAAATTAGTGCAAGAAACAGAAAAAAGAATTTAATTGTAAGAAATTAAAACACGAATGAATATTATTAAGAGAAATGAAGAAAGAAAAATGAAAAAAGTAAGAACTCCTAAAAAAAAAAAAAAAAAAAAAAAAAATACATTGACAATATACGATTCGTAAATCAAATCAATATTTTGAAAAAAAAAAAAAAAAAGAATCAAGATAATATTCAGATCAAATATAATGGTGCCAATAATTAAAATTGAATGAATTAAAAAGACGAAAGAAGGAATGAGAAAAATAATTGTTTTACATCATTGAAAGAAATTAAAGAATTCCAAATAAAAAATTGAAGGTAAGAAGTAGGAAAGGTCAAAGTGAAAATTTTGGAAATTAAATCACATCAAAAGAAAAAAAAAAGAAATGTAGAATATTTTAGAATAAATAAAGAATTGAAAAGAAAACACTTTCAGAAATAAAAAAACATACATTTTGCAAGAAGGAGTAAAAGAAAAATAAATAAAACTAGGAAGGAACGGTGAAGAAGGAAATATTCAAAGAAATAAATTAAATTGTTAAATGTCGAAAGAAAGTTTGAAGAAAAATAAATGGTCTGAATTAATGATCAACAAAGAAAGAAGTGAAATGTATGAGACTGAATGAGTTATAAATGCAATGAAGGAAAGAGATTGAAAGAGTTATAAATGCAATGAAGGAAAGAGATTGAAAGAGTTATAAATGCAATGAAGGAAAGAGATTGAAAGAGTTATAAATGCAATGAAGGAAAGAGATTGAAAGAGTTATAAATGCAATGAAGGAAAGAGATTGAAAGAGTTATAAATGCAATAAAGGAAATGAACGAACAGAAAACACAAGTAAACTAATGAAAGAATTAGTTTAACAATAAGCAATCTACATGATAATTTTAAGGAAATAAACGCTGAGGAAACAACGCAAACCTAAGAATGAGACCTCAATTAACATGGAGAAAAAAGTTCTATGGAAGCGTAAATTAGTAAAAATAGGAAGTGAGACAATTCGAGGGAAACGAAAGGAAAAACGAAATGAATGAAGACGAGGGAAATCGACAAAGACAGGCTTGCTGTTTGGATTTTTATAAATCCTTTATCTCTCACGTGTTAAATTTATTGAAGCCTTACATTTTTCTTTTGAGGAACGATGCCCAACTTACGCAAGAAGAAAGATAAATTCGATGGTTTTAATGTATCGATAATTAACACATCTTAAATTATTCCGACTAATTCGGTACGATCTAAGCCTACAAGATAACTACTGAGTAATTTCAGTTTGGCTTCATCACATGTATCATTGAAAAATAAATACAACTGAATTTTAAAATTTAAAATTCGCAGCATCTATTTTCAGTTCTGCGCATCAACGTAAACGTAAATTGATACGAATAAGACCAAGGATGAAACGCGTCACAGGAAAACGTTTTCCAATGTTTCATATATTTTCCCCCAAAATTGTTTCTGATATGTGAAACATTATATATTGTTCCCCCAAACAACGTTTTTGTTATAGTCGAACACCCCTATTCTATAGTTAATAGACTCTCCCACATAAGTAGGAGTAGTAAGAGTAACAAGTCAGTCGGCAGTGAGTGGATCAGTCAGTCGATGTCGGACGACAATTAGTCGGATATTAAAGTATCAGCCACTGTTTTCTTTTGTCCCTTGTCGTTTAGATTTCTTAAAGCGCAATGAAAGACTAAATATACATTTATAAGCCCAACAACAGCAACGTGTCCATAAATGTTTGGTGGAAATTTTCCCTATGCTTGTCGTTAGGAAAAATGATATTTCCCCTGATGATAATTCAAGACACCATACAGTAAACCGCACAGGAATATATAATTGGACTTCTGCTGGTCTACTCGGCTGCATCCGCCGTATTCACTCGATATCATAACAATAGATTATCACCTTTTTCTTTTTTTTTACACCGCGGCTAAATTCTTTGATGGAGAATATCTTTTCAAATCAAAACCATGGTCAAGAGATCTGGAATTTTACTAAAAAAGTATCAAAATTAATTCTGGGAAGTGACAATATCTCGTTGTGAAAAATATTTATGGCGGGTGATTTTTTTTTTTATTCCACCGTATGAATTTCGAATCCTCGTGGGCAAGTGTGTTATGGAGTACGAATGTTTTTCTTCCTTCGTATGAATCCGAATACTGTCGTCAAGTGTTGTATGGCGTACGAAAAGTTTTTCTTCCTACGTATGAGTTCGAATCCTCGTCGTCAAGTATTGTAGAGTACGAAAGTTTTTTCTTCTTCCGTATGAGTTCGAATCCTTCGTCGCCAAGTTGTTATGTAGTGGTTTCACAGTGGAGGCTTGTATTTGTACTAAGTCGGTCCTAAAACAGGTTCGACCTACAAAACGGTAGAAACTTGATATAATAGATAATGACGCAGAGAAATCTACTTGTGGTCGCTGATACTTTAGTATCCGACTAACGGTCGTCTAGCATCGACTGACTCGTTACTCTTACTACTCCTACTTATTATAGATGGAAGAGTCTATTAACTATAGAATAGGTATGTTCCACTATAACAAGAATATAGGTTCATATCTGATACTGATGACTGTATTGACAAAAAGGATGAATAGTCTTCTTAAACAGTAAGATACCATTTTTTTGAAGAAGCAATGCAGTTATTGAAAAGCGGATGTGAAATTAATGCATATAAGATTTCACATCACTAGCATCATCCCTTCATCGTCATCCTATGAATATTTTAGCTGATCCTAGTAATTTTCTCTCTTATCATACAATTTTCTTGGAGTTTAAATTCTAGAATTTGCTCAATTTCTTCCTTTTCTTTCATTGAATTTTTCCTCTTCACTTTATGGGGAATGTTATTCTATCGTTCATCATTTTATTCTGTCAATCCTTCATTCATTCATTGCACGCAAGGTTTCCCTCTTATAAATTCTGTAGCATAAAGGATAAAGTTGGAGATTCTCCTCAAAGATAAAGAAGTCACTTCAAGCAACATAAATGTGGTGATACAGAAGGATGCTGCGGATACCATCGACCGGACATGTGAGCAACTGCAAGGTTTTAGATAAAATAGAAAAAAAAAACTAAAGGAAGTTGAAATTCATAGGGCACGTAATCTGATACTTCTGATAGAGCCGGAGTAAAGAGGGACAAAGAAAAGGGGTGCGTGACATGCATGATGGGCTTTAGTAAATGGATAGCAGTATAGTGTTAGGTAGAAACAGCTAAACGTTAAAATTTATTAAGGATTTCAAGGTACAGGAAGATTTTGAGGTTGATGATTTCCTACGTCCGGAAGGGACACGTCATATAAAGATGTAGCATGGATGAATCACGTTTGTGAATACAGAGTAATCATTGTATAATCACAGGTAAATAAATCTCGATTGACGATTCTGTTTTCCTTTACCAGTTATCTGGCGCAGGAGAAAGGAATTTTTACATGTTCGAATCTACTTTTACAAACCAGAAAACAATGGCTACGACTGGAACATGAAATTGACTCGCCAATTTCAAAATTCTACCTCGATGCTCGCTACACTGCTAAAAGATGAATAAAGCAATAAATTAATCATAAAAGAGATTAATTTATAAAAGTAGGTTTTCAAAACCCTTCGCTGCTTGTTGTCGAAATATTGACAAACATTTTTTTCTGAATATTTCTGTTTGCCAAAAAAATTTAAGTACATGAAGCAACCTTTAAAAATGCAGTTTTAAACATAGAGGCTTTTAGCTGGGAATGAAAGCAGAATATGCAACTATTTCAGAAACACATTAGATTCAAATGTGTTTAATTTTTTTTATTTTTTTATACTTTTATAAATCCACGGCACAAGTGTGAATATAAATGTGCGTAAAAAATTGTGATGTAAAATGTAAATTGGTTACGCTCGATGTGAATACGAAAAAAACTTTAAATATTCTCGGATCTAATACCAGCAATGTGGGAAAATAGAAAAGAGCCAAATTATTAAGTCGAACTGATCGTTGGTGAAAAATCAGAGAAAAAATACACGTGAAAAAGAAAAGAAAAGAAAAAACGAAAAATGGACTGTGGAATCGGAGTACAAATCCAGAAATGCAATACAGTGTAACCCGGATACAAGAGAGTTATCGGGACCGGAGAAGAAGTCTCTTATATCCGGGTTTCTCTTATATCTGGGGTTCTCTTAAATCCGGGTTTGGTCTATTTTATATACATTAACACAGGCTCTAATTTGGGACCAGAGAAAATCTCTCTTATATCCGGGTCTCTTATATCCGGGTTACAATGTACAATCAAAAGACGGAAAATTTGGTCAAGTGAATAGCGAAACGAGACTGTGGTGACGGGAAACTGAATGATTATGTCATGATATTAAAGGATACTCACAAACAAAAAAGGAAGAAGAAGGACAAATAAAAAAAAATGTAATGGGTAACAATTTATAAAGTATTAATTATAAGAAAGATGAGAATCTTAACATAAAAGGCTAATAACAAGGACCGTGTCAAGAAAGACAGGAAACGACAAAGCAAACATAGGATAATTATAAGGGGATATTTTTAAAAGATTACTCCAATATATGATTCGTCAGCCATTAAGATAGGTTTTCGGTTAAAATAATTAAGATGATTTAGGTGTGGCAGTAATGAAATTCGATTTTGCAAGAATTGATGTTGAGGAGAAATAGAGATTGATTTTAAACAATTCAGATTTACCCCAACCAAGGCTGTAAAACTCTCCTGGGTAAAACAATAAACTGCGTCCAACAACAGGACATCTGGTAGGGTTTTCGAAAGCGTGGAACCATTTCTTGGTTACTGGTGTACCCGGGTACTACCTGTTACAGTCCCAGCTAACGGTAAATATTTAATACCGAAACAGAGGTCAAAACATTATGAAAGTGTAAAAATAGGTTTTAATACTAGAAATAATTTTTTGTAAAATTATATTTGAAGAAAAAAATTATAGCCAGCAATGAATTCTTGAACACATTACCAGTTATACATTTTTGAAAAAAAAAATATTACTAGGAATATATCTTTGTGAAAAAATATTTGCTGCCATATATTTTTGAAAAAAAATATTACCAGCAATAAAAATCCTGTCGGCATTAAATAGCCCACTGGGGTTGATATGCCGTAAAAAAAACCAAACCAAACAAAACCAAACCTAAAAAATCTTGTCGGCATTAAATAAACCATTGCGGTTGATATGCCGTAAAGTAAACCAAACCAAACCTAAAAAATCTTGTCGGCATTACATTACCCATTGAGGCCGATATGCCGTGAAAGAAACAAAACCAAAACTAAAAACTCTTGTCGGCAGTAAATAACCCACTGAGGTTGATATGCCGTAAAATAAACCAAATCAAACCTAAAAAATCTTCTCGGCATTAAATAAACCATTGAGATTGATATGCCGTAAAGGATACCAAACCAAACCTAAAAAAAAATCTTTTCGACATTAAATTACCCATTGAGGATTATATGCCGTAAAAGAAACCAAACCAAACCTAAAAAATCTTGTCGGCATTAAATAACCCATTGAGGTTGATATGCCGTAAAGGAAACCAAACCGAACCTAAAAATCTTGTCGGCATTAAATAACCTATTGAGATTGATATGCCGTAAAACAAAAACCAAACCTATGCCATAACACCACTACGGCACAAGGGTTTAAGTGTGTAAATAAATTGGAAAACAGAAACCTTATGATAGAGCGAGAACAATGTGAAAGTAATCAGGAAGTTAGTAGATAACGACTGACATATCATTTAAATTTTAAAGATCATCGTTTGCTGGAAAGAATGGGACAAGAAGAGAGTTCCAAAAGCGAGAATTGAAATAAAAGGCACTGTTAACATAGAACTTATGGGGGTTAACAACTTGAATGGGGCGTGGGTGAACCTTAAAAGGCCGTTCCCGCGTTCTTAATCTTGCAAGGAAGGAACCTCTTCCATGGACCGTCATAATAATAATATACAACAATTTTTTATATATATATTTTATATATATATATATATATATATATATATATATATATATATATATATATATATATATATATATATATATAGATAATTCTAATAATCTTTTGCGTTAGATTTAAACTCTCTAAATTGATTGTACTGCTGTTCTTGCGTTCTCAATCTTGCAAGGAAGGAACCTATTCCATGGACCATCATAATAATAATATACAGCAATTCTTATTATATATATATATATATATATATATATATATATATATATATATATATAATTCTAATAATCTTTTGTGTTAGAGTTAAACTCTCTAAATTGATTGTACGCTGTGTTTTGAAGACATTAAATTTTGCCTTTGATTTTTGCACAAAATTTAGAAAATCATTTCTTTTCGGTTTTTCACCTTCAAAGGTGTAAATCCTTCGAGTAAATTTGGACTCAAAACCCGTAATGAAGAATTATCCATCAAACAAAACAAAATTCTATCAAAATCGGATGAAAACTGTGGAACGTATAAAAAACATCCGATCACAAACACACACACATTTTGAGAATTTTAGATATAGAGACAAGATAGATTCTGGAAAGAAAAAATGTCTAGCACAACACTGCGAACTAATATTCGTAGCACCTTTCGTAGTACTGGATTCTATAAAGACTTTCAACTTCATGTCAACCAAGAGTTTTAGCCCTGGAAGGCGACTTAAGACATTCTCCTGGAGCTTAGCTTCAGCTAGGCTGATGGAACGCAAAAAGGGATCTGTCAAATTGAATTGGCTTTACAGCTTATTAAAGCAAGAAAATATTTTTAGGTTGTAAAATTATTATGATTGGAAGATATTAATTTGGTGATATATGTCTTAATTAACCCATAGCTGACCGGAACTAGTGTATCTATACCTTTCCCAAGGGCATTTACGCCTAAGTAAGTACAACAAACAGAACGGGAATTGGAACTGTTCGATTAAAAATTATGAGCCGTTATCCACTACACCACCGGCACATGCAATTTGATATTCCTATCCAGTCACTCATCTAGGTACTGAGCAGGCACCACTTTGCATAACTTCGATAATCATTAGGGAACCGGTATTTCACCGTGCTATGGCTGTAAACCTGTTAGGATAAATAGGATGGTACATGACAACAATCGCCCCTTGACATGAAGATGTTGGGTAGTTAGTTTTCAGCTATTTTTTTCCACGTGGCTTTTTATAGAACAGCCTAGAGTGTATAAGGAAAAAAGTTGCCTGAGTGGGAAATTCGGTTTATTTGTGGAATAAGGAGGGAAAGAATCAGAATGGATCGAACTATCAATGAAATATTTACGAAATTAAAATTCAAATAAAAAAAAAATATTAAAAGGAAGCTAAAAAGAAAGATAAAAGTAAAATATATAGAAGTAAAAAAATATAAGGAAATATTTAAAATGAATATATTTATCATTAAAAAAAGACATGAAGAATAAGAATCGCCCGGTTCACACTCCTCTCAGCTCTTTTAAACAAATGTAGAAGCTTATTCCTTGTTTCCTGTTTAAAGGTGAGTTTCCGGTCATTCTAAATTATTTTCCTCCTCTTTCGCTTCCAGTAAACCATTGTGTCCTAGTGGTATTATCATCTTGCATAGTGTGAATTGTTTAAAAATAAAAAAAGATAATTAGATAGATAGATAGATAGATAGAGATAGATAGATTGATTGATAGATAGAGATAGATAGATTGGTTGATAGATAGATAAAGAGATAACGACAGTAGCCTGTAACGACGAGTATTAACAAAGAAGTAACAGAAAATCAACTGAGAGAAAAGGGAATATTAATAGGGAAAACAATGTTAAGATAGATGACATGATGGTAGTGTAGGGAGACAGAAGACAATCATCTATTTTTCGTCGAGATATTCACATGGGTTACGTTACGGGCGCTTATTGACGTCACCTCACACAGCGACAAATGTGGCCTATCCTTTAGTCGGTTTACAGAAGCCAAACAAAGATGTTGCTTTCTTTAGGCTGTACCCAACCCACGGCCCGAGTTGAGGAAATATCTGCCTCCCCAGCATATTAGAGTTTCATGTTGCCGTTTCCCTTGGGGAATATATCTTTCCCAAATATATAAAGAAACGCTTGCTCGCAGTACTTTAATTTGGGAAAACCCGAGTCTCGCCGTTTTCCCTTCGTGAAATATATCCTCGCCTTAGAAAGAATAGATGAATCCGACCTGCATGAATCTGGAGCCCTAAACATGGCTTCTCCATACACAGACGTATCTCCATATATGTAACACCGTTCCTTTTGTTTCTCCTTACTTTCTGCTGGATGTGTTGATATATGTGATATATTTTCTTCTCAGCGTGGGACACATTACTATATGTATATTAACATTTTTTTATACGTTATTTATATGCACAAATATGTAAAAAAATGCTCCGTGTGTAATAAACAGTATTAACAACATTTACCGTCCTGATTGTCCGAGAAATTTCATAGAAAATATGCATACTCCGTTAGGAATTGAAACGTTATTCTACACAGAACCGTCATATACCCTGACATGCTTTACCAGTTTAGCTACAAAGTCCGCGTCTGGTTAGAATATTTGGTTTACAGTTTTTAAACAACAAACTTATAATCGACTTTGCTAAGTAGACGCGGCTTTCTTAGCCAATCTGGTATAGCACGATATATAACGGTTCTCTGTAGGATAGAGTTTCGATTCCTGTCAGAGAACGCATATATCATTGAAATATCTTGGATATTCAAGCCGATATTGTTATAAATAGAGCCTTTACTTAAAAATTTTGTCTATATAAATAACGTATAACAATAAAATATACTGTGCAACCTCGGTTTTCGAACGTCTCGCATGTTGAACAGAAAATTCTAGATGAAAATGTCTGGGTTATCGAACAAAATTTCGGTTCTCGAACAACATTGCCGAACTAAGTTAACCCGAACGGAATAATTTCTGAGTCGACCGCCATGTTGTATACATTCGTGTGTTGTGTTGTGCTTTTTTTTCCAATTTTATTATACTGTGACTTTTTCTCTACGTAGATTTCTATTGTAAAAATCGTTTCTGTTTACGGATATGTCGGATTACGAACGGCCTTCAGGCACGAATTATAATCTTGAACCGATGTTCCATTTTATTGAAGGATTAGTCGGATTACTCCATTTCAATATATATGTATATATAGTTTTGTGTATGACTTAGTAGTATTAAAAGTCCGTCGGAGAACCAAGCATGTTTTGTGATTCCTTTTCCTTTTAGCCATTCCGTCCAGTCCTTGAGTTACCGTGTTATTGTATCACGTATATATTAATGCCCATAGCGGAGGAAATAAAAATGGATGAATAAACGTTTCTTCTTTTTTTTCTCTCTCTCTCTCTCTCTCTCTCTCTCTCTCTCTCAACATGGCTTCTCCATACACAGCCGTATCTCCATATATGTAACACCGTTCCTTTTGTTTCTCCTTACTTTCTGCTATGTTTAGGGCTCTCTGTTACTATAGAAAAATCTGAAGTGGAAAAAAAGAAATAAAGAAATTCTTCA